CATGGGTCTTGCACATTTCTGTAGTCTTTCATTAGTGGCCTGAATTATAGTACACTTGTCCAAGATAAGATACTCAATTAAGACTTTTCTTTTGAAGTTTGAGAAAGCATTATGGATATTGCTGTAAAGAAAATGTTTCCATTATAAAAACAGCAAGGCTTTGTCAGAGCCCTTCAGTTTACCTTAGTGTGTTGCTTAAGGGGCATACCTGTCTGGGAAGCATTCTACCATCCAGTAAAGCACGCTATTGTAGATCTTTCAAGTAAAATAATCCAAGGCTGCTCCATCTTCTGCCATTGCTTAGTTTCTGGTAAAGTGATGGCATGTTCCTCTGAGGCTGTTTTCAAGACTGAAATCTTTGCCCTGTACCTGTGCAGTTCATAAGAATTCTTGTTCTTCTCACTTTGTTTAAAATACTGATACTCTGTGGTAGAGAAACATTTACCTGGTGTCTACAACTAGTATCAATATTACATCCAGGAAGATGTTGAAGAGTGGTCTATCATGCTGTGTTCTGCAAGCTACAGAAAACCACACTTGATCTAGTTGTTTATTCTATCTGTCAAAGTGCATTTTAGCTTTGTTGCAGGAAGACCACAGTAAGGAAAGATTAGAATAAAACAAAGCAACTGCCACTAAATGGTTTTTGAACATGCTAAAATAGAACTGACTTGGCCTGTAGGAATATTGATCATTCTGTGATATAAGATGCTTGTCTAAAGTCATACAACCCAACTGACAGGAATGTCAGTAAATAGTAAACTAAGTGTGTCATTGTATCTCAGTGACACAATGAGAAATAATATCTGGAAATGAGCAAAAGCCTAGAAAGAAATCATTTAAAGTCACGGCTGTTGAAATGCCTTGGCATCTGAGGTACCAGAGGTGTGCATTAACCATGATCCCAGATAAATGTTTCTTTCCAAATAATGTGATTCAAACTGTGAGTGGGAGCACAGGCCAGATGCAGGTCCAGAAGTAATACCTGTAAAGTAGTAGTGGAAGCTTCCCCTTAAAAACACTTTCCCAGGTGAAATCTCAAATCTTTTGAAACTTGATGTATAATTTAATTTTATAAACATATCAAACCCTTTATTGAAGCTCAAGTTGCAATTGGACTGCAAGCAGCAGCTGATTTTTGCAACACAGCATTTGAATGATTGGCAGCATCACTAAGTGTTCTTGGGTACCTGAAGCCATGCCTCCTGTGCTTTTAGGATTTGAAAAATGCAATGCTTATACATTCTAGCACAGTGAAGCTGCAGGCAATTTTTGACAGTAGTTTTGAGTGTATTTTAAGCAAACCTAGGTTCTGCTTGAATTGGACATGTAAGTTTCATCTGTCTGTGAGTTAGATTCTTATTTTCAGTTGTGGTTTAGTTGCCATGTTTAGTGTTAACATCTATCTGTGTTGTCTGGATGTAATACGAATTGTAATGCATCTTTACTTCAAGATGAACAAACATATCTTCATTGTATGCTATGTGCTCTAGCTGCTCTAGTGGTTCTCTGATTGACTTGCTGCCGTCTATCAGTGCTTCTTACTGGCAAGCCCAAAATGGCACTGTTGCAGATGCAGTTCCAGTCAGAATAGAAGGAAGCAATTGCATCCCGGGACCTGTTGGTTGTACTCCTGTTAGTGAAGCCTGGTATTCAGCTATGGTTTTGAGTTGCAGATGAACACTGGTAGCTATATTTATCATTTGTCTACTGGGACATGAGGTCACTTTCTGCAAAGTTGCATTCAATCTGGTCAGCCCTCAACCTTCACTGTTGCACAGTGTCTCTTTGTTCCAGGTGCAGGACTTTTGTCTGTGTTGAATGTTGAGGACTATTTCAAGGGGCTGGGAAAATAGGCTCCCTCTGAATCTTACCATCTAGTGTGTTGAACCTCTTCTCCCTACTTCTGCACAGTCTGATTTACAGAGGATATAATAAGTTCTATTTTTCAGTTGATTAATGAAGAGGTAAAACAAGTGTATATGTCAGTATTGACTCT